TTTGTCAGAAGCTTAGACTTATTTGGGGGATGTGCTACCTTGTCTGATTCAGAGGGGCTGTCCTAAATTGAGCAAATAATGCACAGTATTTGAGGACTGAGCCAGCTACCTTCTGACCAAATGTGAGGGTGCTATCTTCCAGTCAAAGCCTGGCCTTTTGTAAAGTTTTACTGAAAGCTTCACCTTCCAAAAAGCTTTACATTCTTTTTGAGAGGTTTTTGCTATAGGGTACGTGAACTCGCCAGAAGGACAGAGAGAGACAGAGAGAAAGCGAGAAATTCCTCCCCAGGGGGGATGGCCACACCACAATCCCTTCTCCTCTAGGGATCTTGGGCATGCACGCACACATGCCCAGCATGAATTTAAACCACCAGGTCCGGGACTCAAACCGTAGTCAACTACATGGGAGTCCAGTGACATAGCCATTAGGCCAACTGCTGGTCCCAAAAGCTTTATATTCTTAGACCGTGCCCCCTCATGATTTATTTATTTATTTTTCTGTATAAAAAGAATTTATTGTCTATCTGGATTAGATCATAAAACTTTGACCCAAATTATTGTATATATTAAATTCTATGCATATCAATCTTGTCACATGGTAAATTGATGCCATTTCTCAATAAATATATAAAATTTCACCATTTTCTAATATTTATTGAATCTCAGAAGGATAGGGAGAATGTTTTGTTAACATTTTCTTGGCTTTATTATTTTTTTCCCCATCCAGAGTACACTGTATATTGTCTCAATCAAGCACATAAGCAAACATGTTATTGTCAACAAATAATTTCCCATTTCTTGTTTTCTGTATGTTTTTTTTTTCTCCCATCCTTGATTCCCTATCTCTTACCCTCTGCCATCTCCCACTCTCCTGTCTCTGGTATCTATGTTTGCTTTCTATACTGTTTTCCCCCACATTTTACTGAATTACTAAAGACCTTAATTAATCTAAATATCTTCATAGCAAACACAGCTGATATATACATTTCCATGAACTCAAGTCTAACTTTAGGCATCCTATAAAGTAGCACTTAGCTGGGGCTATATATCCTACTGTGGTCATCGAATGGATTTTTTTTTTAGAAACTTTTTTTTGTAACTTAATTTACATTCTTTCTAACTTAATTTACATTCTTTCACTAAGCATCATCACAGCATATAAAATGTGATTTCCCATCCAGAATATACTGCAAAGTGACTTAATCATGCATATTATAAAAAATTTTTCATTTCTAGTTCCTAGAATTATTTTTACCCCTCTTTCTGACCCTGTGTCTCTTCCCACCCTCTTGTCACACTATCTCTGGGGTCTACAATTGTCTTCCATTCCTTTCCCACCTACATTGTATTGAACACACAATTTTTTACATAATCTAACTACTATCAATGGTGAGTTCACTCATTACTATTAAGAAAACCAGTTTTAACTTAAATCAAAGAAATGCCAAGGAACTTTTCTTAAAGCCAGGAAACAGGTTAGGATTTTGTTCAAATGGTAGGTGCATGAACCTATCAGTGACATGTACTTATTTTATCTTCTGTTCTGGTTCAATTTTCCTGATTAAATTCTGGGATATAATATTCAATTCCAGACTTGTCCCAATGATTAAGCTGGCCACTCTCTTAGTTTTCAAACTCTTATTTCCTTGTGTCTGTATTTGATTTTCCTGATACAGCACACCCTTGAGAACTTCTTAGAGATCTGGTCTGGTGCTGGTAAAATTCTTTCAGGTTTTGTTTATCTGAGAATGTTCATGTCTTTTCTTCCCACCTGAAAGATAATCTTGCCGGGTACAGTATTCTTGGCTGAAATTGCTTCTCTCTTCATTTTGAGGGGTTATTTTCTCAGTCTTTGTGGTGAATTTTTCTAGGGCAGAGATTCTGTTTTCTACATCTGAGATTTGATTTTCTGCATAATCTAATCTACTTTTAATACTTTCAAGGGAGATTTTGACTTCCTGTATTACAGACTTCACCTCTAACAGTTCCGTTTGAGTCTTTTGTAAAGTGTGTAATTCCTCTTTTAGATCTTGCAAGAATTTCCTCATCTCCTGGAACTCGTCAACTTCTTTCTCCTTTCTCTTTAGCAGTTCATTATCTCTCTTCTCTTCCATTTCTGTTAGCTTTGACATTATGAATGCTCTAAATTCCTTATCAGACATTTCCATGATTTTCACTGAACTGCTAGTGAATGAAGAAGAGTTACTCTTTTCCCTTGGAGGAGAGGTATTTTCTTGTTGTTCCATATTTCTTGTGATCCAGTGGTTATTTCTTGTCATCTGATAGATGGTGTGTTTCTTTCAAATTCTTGAAGTTCAGTCTGAATGTTCAGGAGCAAGCAGACTGAGGTGGTCTAGAATCTCTTTGCCATTCTGTTGTGATCACTGGTGCAGTAGATTCAGTAGATATCGAGGAATATTTTAACCCTATTAGTATTTGGATGTTTAGCAACAGTGCTCTTAGATCTGTCTAAAAACACGTTAAATGGATATTGGAGAATGGAGAGACAAGAAAAAGGAATATGAAACAGAAAGAGAACAACACAAAGAAAAAAAAAGACAAAAAAAAACGAAAAAGATTGTAATTACTGTTTTTCTTTAAAAAAAAATCACAAAATAGAAATACCTAGTTTGCAGGAGCCATGTGGAGTCTTCTTCTGAAGGCCTGGCCTCTAATGCCTGGGTGGGAGGACCAGAGTGATAATTAACAAGATAAAAGGTGGAGCAGAGAGCAAGAGAAAAACTTTGCCTTTAAAAAAAATGTAAAAAGGAAAAAAATTTTTAAAAAGGAAGAGAACAAGCAGTTAACGTAATGGCTATGTCACTGGACTCCCATGTAGTCAATCACGGTTCATGTCCCGGACCCAGTGGCTTAAAACTCACGCCAGGTGCGTGTGCATGCGTGCCCAAGATCCTGAGAGGAGAATGGAGGAGAAGGGATTGTGGTGTGACCATCCCCCCTGGGGGGTGATTTCTCGCTTTCTGTCTCTATGTCTCTCTCTGTCTGTCTGGCGAGCGCACGTGCCCTATAGCGAAAACCTCTCCAAAAAAAAAGGAAGACAGAACCAGGGAGAGACATAGACAGAGACACAGACACAGAAATAGAAGGCTGGGGGTAAGGGGGGTGCTCCCTGCCAAGCTAGCTTGTTTACTGGAGGCTGAATTATTGGTAGGAAACCTTCATTTCTCGTGTGTCCTGAAATACCTAGTTCACAGGAGCTATGTGGAGTCTTCTTCTGAAGGCTTGGCCTCTAATGCCAAGCTAGCTTGTTTGCTGGAGGCTGAATTATTGGTAGGAAACCTTCATTTCTCGTGTGTCCTGAAATACCTAGTTCACAGGAGCTATGTGGAGTCTTCTTCTGAAGGCTTGGCCTCTAATGCCAAGCTAGCTTGTTTGCTGGAGGCTGAATTATTGGTAGGAAACCTTCATTTCTCGTGTGTCCTGAAATACCTAGTTCACAGGAGCTATGTGGAGTCTTCTTCTGAAGGCTTGGCCTCTAATGCCAAGCTAGCTTGTTTGCTGGAGGCTGAATTATCGGTAGGAAATCTTCATTTCTCATGTGCCCTGAAATACCTAGTTCGCTCCCCTCATGTTTAAAGGTGAGTTTTTCCATTAGTATCAGTGGATGGACTGTATTTTAAAAGATAGTTCTGGATCCCTATTCAAGATGTGACTCTCTTTCAATGACACCTTAAAGAGAACAAAGAGAAAGAAACTATAAATCAGTGAATCTTAAAATTCCTGTGAGCAGGGGTTGACTTCAGACTATGGGCTTGTTTAGCCTTCAGCCTGGACTATGAAAAGCTACCATGGCTCTAGGAAGCTTCAAATCCACATCTTGACCTGTCTCTATCAAATCAATTTTCACATGAGAAGTGAACTTAAATCTGAAAGGGTACATATTGTACATGAATAATGGTTAAAAATGTTGACATTTCATTTGGCCTTTAAATGCCTTAAACACGGTCTACTATTTATGAACAGCATTTGCCACAACTCGCTCTACCCCTATAAAGCCCACACTCTTCACTGTGGCATTCAGAGCCACTCACAGTTAGAACCTGCCTACCTTTTCAGCTTCAGCACTGGAGACTTCCCAACTCACCCCATAGCCAAGAGTATAGACTTAGAGGGTCCAAGTCCCTCTAGGAAGTGCCCAGATTTGCCCTCGAGATAATTGGTCATGATGAGTTCTCTCAAAAAGTGCCTCCCAACCTTTTTTAATTTAATGGCATGCATTATCTATTTCTAATTCTGCATGGCAAAAGGGGATAAAATGGAAGTATTCCAGGATATCTGTGGATTTTTGTGAAAACAATTACTTTTTCTTTATATAACTGTGTCAAAATATGAAGACAGTAGATGAGCAAAAAATAGTTCTGGTTTTTCTATATAATTTGTAAATAAAATTTTTTCAAATGTAAATAATAACTAGACATGGTTCTATTAATATATTTTTAAACATCTGTTTTTAATGCTTGGAAAGGGCTCCATATTATTAAGGTTTGGATAATAGTTTGTCCTTTAAAATTTCATATCTTAGAATTTAGATGTTGGGGCCAGCAGATGGCATAGCAGTAACAGCACTGGACTCCCATATGGTTGACCGCATTTTGAGTCCCAGACCCAGCGGCTTCAAACTCATGCTGGGTACATGTGTGTGTGCCCAAGATCCCAGGAGAAGGGAGGAGAAGGGATTGCAGTGTGGCCATTCCCCCTGAGGGGTGATTTCTCACTTTCCCTCTCACTGTCTCTCCCTGTGTCTCTGGAGAGCACATGAGCCCTAAGGCAAAAACCTCTAAAAAAATAAATAAATAAGAATTTAGAGGTCTCCTCATCTAAATAAAAAGATGTGCTGGGGCTTAGTTTTATTGTTAAGTAAAAACCTAACATGGTGTCCCAGGGTGGGGCCTTTGGGTGTTATAACAATGAGACTTTATGACTGAATTCTGGTGTATATATAAAAAGAGAAAATGAGGCAGAGAAAAAGGCCGGGTTGATACAGACCATGTTCTGCCAAAAGTTCTGCCTTCCACCCTTTTTTGATGCCTTTGAATGTTCCCACCACCAGAACTGTGAGTCAAAATAAATCCCTACTGTCTTAAATTCAGCCATTCTCAGGTATTTCTGTTAGCGAAAATGGACCAAGATATATATTATTCCTGAACAAATTTTTTTAATGATCATTTCTTCAAATTTTGATAGCCTCCACTAATGAGAAACTTTTTTTTTGTAGCAACTGGCTAATAAAAATGCATAAACCATTGATTTTGCAATTTTTCAAAATTTATAAGACAGGTAATAATATTGTTAAATATTCAAATAGTGCTGATATTGACAAACATATTTTTTAATTCTAAGATAATGTAAATGAATTTTTAAATCCAGTTGAACTTTCATATCAGTTCTTTCAAAATTTGTCCATTAAAACCTGGATTGATCTTGTGTAACTTAACAAGTTCCACCTACCGTAGGTACTAGTGATTCAGCCATGAACTCCAATAACACTGAAAAAGCCTGAATGGAGCTGGTATCCTTGTCAGGGAAGATAAAGAACCAACAAAATAAATAAGTAAGGTATGTATTATGTTGTACAGTGTTAAATGATCTGGAAGAGTAAAAATGGGAGATACTGAGTAATGACAATGCTGGCCGATTTTGAGTAGTGTGATCAGAGAAGACCTCATACAAGTAGGTGGTATTTGAACAAAGACTTCAAAAGAGAGGAGAGGATGGTTGACGTCAAGTGAATTGAAGCATCATGGTGGCCCTTCTACACTGAACGGAATGACCAGGATGGGCAATATGAGATCAGAGAGGTAGCAGAGTCAGATGATGTAAGACTTTATGGGCCACTGTGAGGACATTGTTTTTGTTTTTCATTTAAGAGAAGTTCTCACCCTGTTGCCATCCTCATTTCAGCCTCGCTGAGTAACTGGGACTACAAGTGTATGAAACCATGCTTGGCTTTTAGGTTGGACTCAAAATTGAACACAGCCCTCTGACATGGTCCCAGGCAGAGAAACACAGTGTCTTAGCTGCACACACTCTGACTGGGTCCGTTGTGAGAACTTTCTAAGCACAATGGGAAGTCAATGCTAGGTTGATAGCAAAAGAGTGACAAACTAAATTTTTACAGATGAGTTTCTCTGCCGTGTTGAGAATAGACCACAGAGGGGCAGGAACTGCATAGATAGAAAATTAGGAGGTTTTTGTGATCATGTAGGCCAGAGATGATAGACTAAGAGAATTGAGATTTCCCAACCCACCTTTCAACCCATCTGGAACACAACAGCGACATGGTGAACCAGTCAGTCAGTCCTACTCAACACTAACTATCCAGAGACCAAGCCAAAGGCAGGTTCACTGTGTTTTAGCCCCAGATTTTAATTTATGTATATTAGAGTGCCCACGTCCCCCTACTCAGACTAGAATTCTTGAGCTACAATATGAATAAAATTAGATTATTTTCTTGTACCACAGCCTGAGATGGGTGCTCATTCTCAAATACAAGTGACAGTATTGGGCTCTGACACAGGTACAGCAGAGTCCTCATCCCCAGAGAAGCATAGACCTGGGCAGTTCCAGCTGCTCTCCCTGAATCTGTATTGCTTCTCCCTAGAGAAAATTGCTCCTGGATCCTCCCCGGTGTGATCTTCCTTACTTATACTGGCAATACCTTCAGTCTAGGACTGTTGTCAGCTCAGATCCTGAAACAAATACAGTACCATACAGATGTGCATTCTGTGGATGAATGAATCAGAGAGAGGTTAAGACATAGGAGTTCCTTGTCAGGGCCAGCAGGTGGCATAGTAGTTGAAGTGCTGGACTCCCACATGGTGGACCACAGTTTGAATCTCAGACCTAACGACTTGGCTTGCTTTCTCACTTTCCCTTTCTCTCCTTCTCTGTATCTCTCTGGGATTATTAAAAATAATAATAATGATGACAAATAAAATTCAATAAATAAAAGAATTCTTAAAAAAAAAAAAAAAGAAAGAAAGAAAGAAAAGAGTTCTTTGTCATCTCCAAAGCTCTGGTCCCCCAGCTGTCACTCAGATTCATTTCCAGCTTGACCCTAGTTCCTATTGAACAGCGCCCATGACTAACAGGGCATGAAAAAGTTGGGACCGTTTATTGTTTATTGTCCTCTACATACCAGTAGCCATGTCATACCTCTTTGATTTTATTCATGCTATTCCGTCATCCTGAGATTCTGTCCATTATCTTCAATGAGTTAATTTTCACACATTTTTCAGGGTTTGGCTCAGGCATCATGGCCAAGTATCCATGGTTAAACACCCCAACAAAAGTGTCCCTTTATAGTCTTCTACTATTAGACATGCAACATTTCATTTAAAAATATTGTATGTCAGGACCAGCAGTCGGCATAATGGCTGTGTCACTGGACTTCCATGTATTCAACTGTGGTTCAAGTCCCGGACCTGGTGGCTTAAACTCACGCCGGACGTGTATGCATGTGTGCCCAAGATCCCAAGAGGAGAATGGAGGAGAAGGGATTGCAGCATGGCCATCCCCCCGGGAGGTGATTTCTTGCTTTCTGTCTCCCTGTCTCTCCCTATCTTTTTAGTGAACACACGTGCCCTGTAGCAAAAATCTCTAAAAAATAGATATGCATTGTATGTCTGGGGCAAGTGGTAATGCAACTGAAGCCACATGGGAAAGATTCTGGGTTCAGTCCAAGCATGCTGAGCACACATGTGTGCATGTGATCTGTGCCAACTGAGACTGGGGAATATCATGTTGGAAGGCCCTGTTGAGAGTGCCTGACTCTCTCTCTCTGTGCCCTCCCCCATTTCATGTAAGAAATAAATATACTTTTAAAAATAAAAAATATTGCATGTCTTTCTTTCCTACCAGGCTCTATGTTTTTAGTTGTCAGAAATGATAGCTTATGTACTTTAAAGTTCCTAAGTCCTAACATACTTAGTTCAATAAATATTTACAGAACTTGGGCTCCCCTACTCTGTAAATCTTATTCAACAACTTCAAATAGTCCAAATTGATTTTATCCTTGTTTAAATTCTAACCAGAATCAAACGACTTAAAATGTAAGTCTTCTTTAATTCTTGTATGTGTTTTTCATTTACTCACTCAACTAAACTGAAGTCTCATTTGCACTGGGACCCTGGCATATACTTCAATATATGGTATTTTAAATAGATCTGGCATAGCAATAAGTACATGCTACAAATGCAACATAAAGATTGTTTCACTAGCTACATTACTTTTCACTCTACTTAATGAAGAAAGTTGACCAGCATCTTTGCTTCAGGGGATGATGACAAACAGTGTTTAGTAAATGATCAAGATTATGTTTGCATTCGTTGGACTCCATTGTTTTCTTTTAGGTTTGTTGTTTGTTTGTTGTTTTTTGCCATAGGCCACATGCACTTGCCAGGGGAAAAGAAAGTGAGAAATAACCCCCAAGAGGGATGACCACACAGCAATCCCTTCTCCTCCATTCTCTTCTTGGGATTTTTGGCACTCACACACATGTCCAACATGATTTTTCAAGCCGTTGGGTCCAGGACTCGAACCATGGTCAGTCATGTGAGAGTCCAGTGCCTTAAGCACCACTCTACTTGCTGGCTCCATGGGTTAAATATTTTTTAAAATATAAAATCTAGGCCAAGCCACAATGGTGCACAGGTAGTGTGACTACTTGAGACCTCAAAGTCAAATCGCAGTTCTGGGTTTGGTTCCCAGGCCTAACTTAACATGCCAGGTACAGTTGTAGCACCTGTAATCCTAGCTAATTGGGAAACTGCAGTAGGAGGATCACAACATGGTGAGACCCTGTCAAAAATGCCTCTTTCTTTCTCTCTCTCTCTTACAAAAGAAAAACAAAAAAAAAATGAAATCTCATTGTAAAAACCTTCATATCCTACTAACGTTCTTAGTAATGACTAAAGAGAAATCCACAAAGATACTATATGGTAAATCCCAAAGGGAATGAGATCAATACATCTGTCTTACTTTTCTAAAGGCTGTGTATCTTTGAAGTCTGAATGCTGAAATTATTATAAAGGTAATATAATGTATAATTACATGTTCTAGGTTAATACCATTAATTAACAACGATACAAATATATAATAGTGTTAATATTTTCTACATATTTTTAAATTTTGCTACAATTAGTGAAGATACAAATATATAATAGCATTAATATTTTCTACATTTTAAAAATGTTGCTTGTTTGGGGCACAAAGATCAGCTTGTTTAGTAATTCCAAGATAAGAAATAGATGTAATTTTTAAGATTTTCTTGTATAACAACATTTGGAAATTTACTGTCTACATTGTCTTAGTCCATTCTAGCTGCTACTACAAAATACCATAGACTAAGAGATTTATAAACAACAGAAATTTTATTTCTTATGGTTTCAAAGGCTGTGAAGTTCAAGTTCAAGGTGCCAGTAGATTCAAAGTCTATTCTTGTTCATAGGCAACCATTCTCTTACTGTTACCATCAGGTGGTGAAAGAGATAAAGGATCTCTCTGAGACCTTTTTATAGGACAGTGATCTCTTTGGTCATGAATCCCACTCACAACTTCACCTCTGAAAGGCCCCACCTTCTAATACCATCACCTTGTTGAAGGTTAAAATTTTAACACATAAATTTAATGAGGGGGAACAAATATTCGATTTATGTCATACACCTAATAGTGGGGTGGGGAAATATTAAAAATATTATTTAGTGTACTTTAGGGACCAGCAGACGGCATAATGGCTACGTTCCCAGACTCCCATGTAGTCAACTGCAGTTTGCGTCTCAGGCCCGGTGGGTTAAACTCACGCCGGGCGCATATGCATACATGCCCAAGATCCCGAGAGGAGAATGGAGGAGAAGGCATTGTGGGGTGGCCATCCCCCTTGGGGGGTGATTTCTCGCTTTCTGTCTCTCTGTCTCTCTCTGTCTTTCTGGTGAGCGCACATGCCCTATAGCAAAAACCTCTCAAAAAATTGTATATAGATATATAATCTAGTGTACTTTATCATTATGGAATACTGTTGCTTTTTAAAAAATAGACTGATCACAAAACATTTTCTCATCTAGAGATAATTGCAACGCCTTAGCAGCCTGTGGAGTTTGGAACAAGGCTCATTTAGGTAGCTATTTTTAGGTGTTTTTATTATTATGTCTGACTATATTTAACAACTGTCCTGTCAAATCACTGTACATGTTTCATTTCACATTCTTACAAAATGACAGGAGCTTAAAAATTTTAAATAACAAGTAGTAGCTTAGAATAGTTTATATAATAAGAGAATCTATCCTGAAAACACTTTTATAGCAGTTAAAGAGCAATTAGTGCATTTACTCATGTAATTCTAGTATATTTTTGTAAAACTGTTTTTCCAAGTAACTATGCTTTTTTAACAAAATGTTCTTATGTTTTATTCATATTTCTGAACAATATAGCATGTCAGCATATACGTTGTGTCATTCTGGCAGTTTATTTTAGATCATTTTGCTAAGATATTTTGAATAATAATTTCTTTAAGGAATAGATCAGTGGCAATATATTCCCTTAGTTCAGTTCTGAAATTGTTTTAACTCACTGAGAACTTTTTTCTTGACCTGGAATAAATTAAGTTCTGACGAGTGAATACATGGAGTTCTGTTACCCCATATACTCTAGCAACATAGCCATTACACTAATGCTATGGGGTTACCCTATGTACTCTAGACGAGCTTAGGTATTTCTAGTCCTTGGCTGTTGATGCTGTCCATGGTACTCTGTTATAGAATTCAGAGTATGTCCTAAGCCAGTTGTTCTTAAATATTTCTGCACATTCACTTTAAGAGCTAAAGAAAGGTGTTTTATGTCCCTTGTATTTACTAACATTTGTGTTGTTAAAAATTGTAAATCTAGAAATGTTAAATATACACATTCGTTTAAAAAGTAAATCCATTATATTTATATGTGTGTGTACATGTGTGTGTGTGTCTGTGTGTGAATGTGTTGGTTCTTGCCAAAGGGCACGTGCACTTGCCAGAGAGGAGAGAGATGGAGAGAGATGCAGAAATATGGAAAGTGAGAAATCACCCTCCAGGAGGGATGGCCAAACTGCAATCTCTTCTCCATACTCCTCTCAGGATCTTGGGTGTGCATGCACAAATCCCCAGTGTGATTTTCAAACCACTGGGTCTGAGACTCAAACTCTAGTCAACCATGTGGGAATCCAGCTACCTTAACTACCACACCACCTCCTGGCCCTAAATTCATTATGTATTTACATAAACAACATTTTTATTCAAATATTCAATTATTCAAACAAAACAATTTAGTGAGAACAGAATCATTGGTTTTATATTTTGAAAATCTCTTCAATGTCTGGATAAATAAAAATAGCTGAATTTTCACATCTGCTTTTTATTTAATGTGTTGCAGTATGTTATTTTGGTTGAAGCATATGAAATAAAATCAAGTCTCACATAGATATGCAGCTGGAAAGAAGGGAAGTATTTTAATAGCTTTGTCATAAAACTGGATATTCTTTGATACTACACCAATACTCCATAAGTGACATATGTGGACTCTGGAACCATATCAAAAAAACTCCTTATTTTTTGTTAAATTATAAAATATTGACACATCTCACACTATTGATTTTGTGACATTATGCACTGGTCATTTGTTTTATTTGGGTTATGAAGATCTTTTAAATATTGGCCTATTTCATTATACAACACCAAAAAAAAATCATTAATTAGTATCACCACTTATGGCACCAGAGCTTAAATTATTTAAGGGTTCAAAACCCAAAAAGTGGCAAAGACAAGTTTTCCAATAATTCTAATTTCACTTGAAAGCATGTATTTCATCATTAGCAAAAATAATTTCAACTGAAGTATTTTCCTTCGAGGTGGCAAACTCTTTTATTTATTTTTGAGACTATGCCTGCCAAATGCTCAAGTCTGAAAAATTATGGTTTGTCTCTCAATCCCATCCCATAAAATACACCAGCCAGCTCAGCTTGCAAGTCAAATGCCCACACAGCTGCTTTTCCTTTGTGGCAGAAATGCTTTTTGCATACCTACAATTTCACTACCAGAATGTGAGAAAGAGATGTTAAAGGTCAAGATTGAATAAATAACTTTTTACTGCTTCATTAAGGACATGTCTAGTGAAGCTGGCTTTTTTTTTTTTCTTTTTAACTGCAGGTTCATTGCATTCAAGAGAATAATCACTATTGGTCTTGTCTGATCACCTCAAAGAATCAGCAGTTATACTCATGACTGCATTTTTACCACCAATGCAAGTGTCAACCCCAGTAAAAGGGTAAAGAACATCTTAATAAACAAGAACATATCAAAAAAAAATAGTTGTACTTGAAAGTTTTGGGGCACCTCCAGGAGTCTTTGGACCACAATTTGAGAATCTCCTAACCAATTACAGAATGACAGGTCCCTTAGTGTACAAGGAAACCCCAGATAGAATCACAACATTGGATGGAGAAGGCATTGAAAGATGGTCAGTAAATTCCACACCCTATTACACCACATTTTCCAACACTACACTATACTCCATGCCATAAAAACACAAGTTTCATTTTACAGTACTATAGATAATGGTTATTAGTCATTTGTAATTAGCTATTTTTCACCTTCAGTGCAAAATCTTCATAATTTTAACCCCATTTTTTCTCCTTTGTTGTTTTCAGGAGAAATGGAGGTTGGTTGGTTCACTTACCCTGTATGAGATTCCTGTTTGTAAACAATGTAAAAAATCATTCCAATCTTCTCCTCTGTCAAAATAGGATCTCCACATGTTTGCTTTCCTGGCCATTTTTAATCCTGTCTCTGGCCCAAAGGTCTTCCACATGCCCCCTTTTTATACATATTTTTTCTTTCTGGTCTATCCTGGTCATTAGCTTTGCTAATCCAAAGTGTATCATACACCTTCTTCCAACACATTTTAGATCCTCTGCCTTTAGCGTTTACATTCCAAGTGTCCCTCCTGTGGGGAGCATTGCTGTAAACACAGAAGCTGTGTGTTGGGCAATCACCTAAACTATGGTATAACATGAGCGAGGAGACCAGCTGTTTACTGGACCAGCCACGTCCACTGAACTTTCTGAAAAGACAGAATGGTTTATTTGTGAACACTCCAGTAAAGTAGCCATGAGCCACGGGTGGCTATTGTGTGGTTGAAATGTGGCTACTCTAAGTAAGGAATTGCATTTTAAATTTTATTTATTTTTAATTAATTTGAATTGGAATAGCCATGTGTGCAGTACTTATTTGGGAGAGCAAAGTCATAGACCTTACCTGTATAACACTTCTTACAAATAGTGATTTCTTTCCCCCACAAAAGCCTATTTAATCCAATCCAAAATATAGTTTTAAGTGATGTGTATACTGGTGAATAGACCAGGAATCTAATTTCTACTTATAAATATAGTTTCAATGAGTAAATGTATTCCAGTTCAAGTAATATGCCTGAAAAGAACATTTAAAGTTTTAAAAATAATTTCTATTTGATAATCAGTTGTGAACAATAGACTTAGCATAGCAATTTATTCAGTTACAAAAGAATGTTAGGAACAACTCCTCTGCTGACCATACGACGACTATTTTAGAATGCCTTTATTCACATAGTAAAGTAATAAGATTCGATATTAGTTATTTCTTTTGTCCAGCTAATATCTGTAGAGTTTCTGGTTCTTTCCTGGCACTGTAATATGCACTGGCCTCAGAGTGCTGAACAAGTAAAATGCCTGTCCTCAAAGAGCTCACAGTTTAGTGGGTGATGTAAACATTAAACAAACACACAAGTAAATATATAAATTGTGTTGATTTCACTATATTAATATATAAATTTAATGCAATTCAACTTATAACCCCAATGTTTTTTTCTTTGAGGACATAATTATGTAATATGCTGCTAATGTTTATATGGAAAAACAAAAAGCCAAGAGTAGCCAGGAAAAAGAGGTAAGTGGGGCAGTGTCAGTTTAAGTCCTTGGAGATAATCAGGAGTCCAAGAGGTTTATATGAGGAGAGGAGGGTAGGCGTCTCACCTTGACTGCCATGTATATCCGAGAGGTTTATACGAGGAGAGGAGATTGGGTTCTGCCTGTAAAATACAAAAGGGAAGGAACCAGGTTGGGCAGGGAGAGCTTCAGTCCCTGTTTAGAGACCACGACTGTTCAAGGAGAGGCTGGGAGTCTCATCTTGACTGCCATGTACTTATGAAAAAGCCTTAGTCAGCCAACCCATTTGTGAGCTCTGGATGAAATCTTCGCATTAGAGCCTTACACTGGGTGGAAATGGCCAGGCCCTAATTTATGATCTGGTTCAGGAGTCATGGAAGGACTGCTCAGATCACCTATGAAGACCTTGCCTTTCAGCTGCCTGAAGTACCATGAAGTGATAAGAGACCTGTGTTGGAGCTGGAGGGCCTTCAGCGAAAGCATGGCTATTTCTTGTCCTTCAAGCTTCAAGGGGTATCCCTTTACTTTAGGACACCAATATTTGAGTTTTTTTTAATCTACATAAAATTGTGTGTGTGTGTGTGTGTGTGTGTGTGTGTGTGTGTGTATGTGTGTGTGTGTGTGTCCTCAACTTAATCTTTTCATTTTGAATTTTAGGCTATTGTGGTTGTACTTTAAGCTTTCTTTATATATTATTGCATACTTCATCCCAGATATAGATATAGATGATATAGATATAGATAAATAGTTGTATTTTTTTATTTTTTAAGAGAGAGAGATTTTTGCTATAGGGCTTATGCAGTCATCAGAGAGATAGAAAGTGAGAAAACACCTTTCAGGGGGATGGCCACACTGCAATCTGCTCCATTCTCCTCTAGGGATCTTGGGCATGCACGCACATGTGCCCAGCATGAATTTTAAGCCACTGGCTCCAGGACTTGAATTGTGGACTATGTAGGAGTCCAGCAATATAACTATTACACCATCTGCTGGTCTCAGCTCCTATATCTTGAACTGTTTATATTGTCTTACTTATTTTAATTATTTCTTTCATAAACAAGAAAGAGGCAGGGATGGAGAAGGCAGGAGAAAAGAGACAGGTACCACCAACAGTCTTCATGCCCTGATGTATCCTAGCTCGGGATCCCAGATCATAGGTATGCACATGTATGCCTGGTGTGTACACGGTCACCCTGAGATGTGAACACAAGACCTTCCTGTGTGAGTCCCATTGCATAAGCACTGTGCTACTTTCTAGCTCTCTGTATTGTCCTGCTCTTCAACCTAATATACGCAGCTACACTGGGCTCATCAATATGCATTTAAAATAAATATGTTTGGAAATATTCATGGGAGTAAATAATGTTAATATCAGAACTTCTCTGTATATCAGTGTATAACAATAATTTTTATTAGATTTTTATTCCTCTAAAATATGAAAGAGAAATAAATCTTATCCATATCTGTAATAATTGTAACAACAATAGAAATGGTAATTTAATTTCAATATTTATATGAATGCATGAATATTCTTGTATTATTCACATGATTTATGAAGAGTACATTCTGTTGAGGCTAAAAGGATGTGAGGCCTAGAGGCACAATTACATTTTTAATTCTAATTTCTTTCAAGGAGATTTCATTTATGTTACTGGGAACTGTCTGATTTAATTTGGTATTTTATAAATTTGGCCTTGTAAGGCAAAGTGGAAGAATGAAAAGAAAACTGAACTTGGAATGTTAAAAAACTGTGACACAGAACATAATGCAGGGAGCTGGGCTTAGAGCCAGAAGCAGGTCTGATCTGGGCTCTGCCGTTTTACAGACAAGGCATTTTACTTAGACAGATCACTCCTCCTCTCTAGACCTTTAGCTCATTTTTGAAATGAGACTGACATGAGGAGTAGGAAAGATGGATCCAAGGAGGCACACAGTGGGTTCTTCTCACCGATACTTGTTCTGGCTGCTCCACTAGCTTTGAGGTGTTGAGCAAATCATCAAGGCATCAATTTATATTTATAGCTAAAAAGTTAGAGTAAGCTCCAAAATTCCTTTCAATAACATAATTAATATTCTTGATTCTGAAATATTATTTCTCACCATTGCCACCTACTGACTCTTTAAGATTGAGTTTGTTGGGCCAAGTGGCATGATGATTAAGGGACTGGACTCCTACATGACTGACCATGGTTTGAGTCCCAGACCTAGTTGATTGCTTTCTCACTTTCTCTCTCTCTCTCATGAATGCATGTGCCCTATAGCAAATGAAAAATAATAAGAAGAATAAATAAAGGTAGATAAATATTTTTAAAAGATTAAGTTTATCTGCTGTCTTGTATGACTACCACTAACCCCCACCTCCTCAAAGGACAGTCAGTCCTTTCTCTCTATCCTTTGGGCAGGTGTCCTATCTCTTGAAATGAAAAGATCCTTGGGTCCAGAGTACCTTTATCATCTTTGCTTGCTCAGAGGTACTGCACATACAATGTCTTGAACACAGTAAGTGCTATATAAATGCTATTTGGGTGGATGAATGAATGAGTGGGCACAGGGATAATGAGATAGATAGACAGACAGATAGATAGATGATATTAGTTCTTTGGGCTGCCTTAACGAGTACCACAAACTGAGTGACTTAAAACCACAGAAATATATTGTCTCATAGCTCTGGAATTCAGAAGTCTGAACTCAAGGCATTGGTGGGACTATGCTCTCTCTGTACAAGAAGCTCTTGCCTTGTTTCTTCTAGCTCCCATGCTTTGCCAGCTGACTTGGTGCTTCTTGGTTTGCAGCAGCATGTCAATCTCAGGGTGCGTCGTCACATGGGATTCTCTTTTACATCTGTGTGTTTGTGTCTCTCCTGTCCTAATGAGGTCTCTGGTTTTATTGGATTACGAATCCAGCCTACTCCACTATGATGTCATCTCAATTAATTACATCTGTAATGACTCTATCCAGATAAGGCCACATTCATGGGTACTAGGAATTAGAACTTCAGCATTTTTTGAAATGATAAAGATTCTCTTCCTGACCCAACTGTAGTCAGACTCTTGAACTCTCTTCACATAGAGACTCTGATTTTTTCACTTCATTGTTTGTCTCTGAATTGTCCAGTTTTAACCAGAATCCTTCCTGCTAAGTCAATTTAGCCAGAACCCCCCACCACCACCACCACTGATCTCCCTCAATATTAAGTCCCTTATCCTCCACCATTCCCTAGGTGATATCTGATCTTGCTGGCTTGCCTTCAGTAAAAATCCTGTTAGCTCGGTTTAGCAAATAATTCCCCAACTTCCTAGTCATTTTTCATTCCCTGATCCTCACTCTTCTCCTCAAGTATAAACTCCCACTTTTCCTTGTACTCAGGGTTGAGCCCAGTTTCTCTGCTTTACTAAAATATCTCATTGTAGTAGCCACTAAATAAAGAATGCCTCCCTGTCTTCAACATGTGTCATGGATTATTTTTTTCAACAGAAGAATCAGTAAGATGGTTATAAAACAAAGAGCTTAATCCCCTTCAAAAAAAACCTTTTTATAGAATTTAATGTTCCAACATATTTAAAGTCTTTATAAAGTTGAAGGAGGTAGAATC